CTCAAAACTTGTTAGAAGTGGATTTAGTGATGAAATAGCACATCAGTTGTACCGCTTTGCATTATGGGAAACAGTACGCGAGGTAGACTGGTCCGATGCATACTGGAGATTTTTCCCAAATCAGTACGCCATCCGGAGATTTTAGGCATACTGCAGATTTTGCTTTTGTTTGCATTGTACATAATACATACTACATTTAGGCCAAATCAGTACATACTTCCAGTATAGTAGGTGGTTTCAAATACAGCCATTGTCTTGAAAGCACTTTAGAATGTTGACAATCATGTAGCATTGCTGTGCCTACGTTTTTAAAATATATTTTATTCAATCAAGCAGTCTCATTGAAATTTGTCATTTGCGTAATGCATTTTGATACACAGGATTTAAAAGCTGAAGTTGATGGGGCTGCATGACATTACGGAATATCTCTATAGTCAAGGACAGATGTAAAGGTTGACTGCACAAAAGTTTCACAGTTGGAACAAGACATATCCTTTAATTCTATACAAGAAGCCTAGTTTGATTTTTGAGTCAAATGTTGAATGATAATCTTGAATGATAGTCTACTGTCAAGCCAAATTCCTAAATGGACTCAGCAAGAGTAATGTGGGTGCAAAATAATGTGGCTGGCAAATAATCAGTCATGGGTAGAGGTGGAGAATACCATTTACATTTCTGCATTTAGTGTGTGATTAAACAGTGACACTTGGCATCAAAGGCAAAGACAGACTGAAGCTAGTCAGGGCCTGGGCTGTGGCATCACCTGGGGCATATAAAACCATCAGCCACAAAATGGACTTTGAAGTATTGATTAGGAAGAATTATGTTAATTTTGTATAACATAAACAGCAAATGACCACGGAGAGACCCACCCATTTCTGATGCTCAGAGGGCCTGACTGAGTAATATCAGAGATAAAATAAGTGTAATTTATATTTAAAAATTAAGTATGGAGTGCCAGTTAGCTCACTTAGTAGACCATGCACACCATATTCAAAGGCTAAGTCCTTACGGCATCAGCCCGGGTTTCATTCCAGCCTGTGGCCCTTCGCTGCATTTAATCCCCCCTCTCTTTCTCTCTTCAACATTTCGTGTCTCTCATCAGTAGGATTCTGTATCAAGAACAGTTTCCAACTTGGAACTGTTTCAAAAACTATGATTCCAATGAAATCGTTAGGAAAATTTGGTTTCAAATTTAACACGGTCTCCGCTCGGACAGTGTACTTCCAGGCACTCGTTCTGTTGCAGCCATGGAGCCCAGTTAGTGGCTTTAGTTTACATTTAAAAAACTGGGTCAGCACAGTGAAACACCTGTGAGACACTTATTTCTTGCACGGAAGGATGCTCTACAAATATGAGTAAACACCCACGCCTGCATGGTGTACAAATCAACAAGGAGTGTACCATGTTCGAAGTGCTGTGCCGGTCGTCCTGCCTTGTCGTCCTTGGACAACCTTGAGCTAACTAGTATCTAGTCGCAATCAAGTAGGTGAAATTGTAGTGAAACAAGTTGCTTGACCAAATTGCTAAAATTGTGGTAAACACTAACGTAACTATAATTTTTTTTTTTTCCCGTAGATTAATATACGCAAATTGCTATCTCTAGTAGCAGATGGATGGTGGCTAATGTTAAGCTGGAGTGTGAAACTCCATTCACCTTAGGGCCCGTGTCCACCAAAGCATTTTTTGCCAGCTGAAATCGCCAGCTGGTCTTCTGAAAACGCCCATCAGGGAGCGCTAGCAGGCGTTTTTGAGGTACAGCGTTTTTTCCTCATGCTTTGGTTGCTATAATACTAAAAATCCGTGGTTACAGGTAGTTCTGCCTAACTATACTGGATGTAAAAATGTCAACACAGAGCAGAGTACTTGCTCTGTATGAAGGGAAGGCTGAAGCAAGTAGAGAGAGAGAACGGACTCGCCGGATGTGGGTTCATGACATTTTGTGGGCAAGGAAACATCATTTAGTCCTAGAGGACAAAGCCCGGTTCCAGGATAGTAACCATTGCTTCGGTGTGGTATTTGTCCCGCCCTTCCTCTACTGTGATTGGACAGCATGAATCTGATTTTTTTTTACTCCTCAATGTGGCCCTAATATTCCATCGTAGAAATGAGAAGAACCAGACTTGAAAGGAAGAATCACAATTGGCATCAGAATTTTTCAAATAAAAACGATGCCCATTCCTACTCTTCAGCTCATTATTTGGATATCACGTATGCGCTGGCTCCTCCGTCTAAGCTATAACAATTTTGCTGCCATTTATATACTGTATCTCCTGCTCAGAGAAGCCCATCTTAAGATGTTATTAACATGTATGTTAATGTATTCACCTAACACCCAACTTTCTGTGAAGTTCTCAAGAATTACAACACATGGGAGATATCTTAAACAGGTTTGAGATTCTCTGGAGAGGAGGAAATATGAAAAGATCAGCAGAGCTTTGAATAAAAATAATGCCATAAGCTAACAAATTTTTATCACAGTGACCTGGCATTTACAAGGCAACCTTTATAGAAATTTAATTCACCAGTTGTCTGGCCCCTCTTTCAGTTTTGACCTCTGAGTCTGTCAAAATAACTCAGTGACATTACTTTGATTTGATTGGTGATCTAAAAGTTCATTTACAATAGGACATTATGAGAACTGTGTTTTCTTAAAAAAAATTTAATACAATAAAAAAATTCCCTGTGAAGTTGAAATGTGCACAAGTCTCATATACATCTCTGTTAGCTTCCAAAATGAACAACAATTGTTGAAAGAAAGTTACTATATAACTATTGAGAGTATTGATGTATATATAAATCAGAATATTATTTTATGATTCGTTTTTTTATTTTATGAGTAAATGTGCAAAATAGAGGTCGTTGCAGAGGTCAAGGCCTGCACTGCACTGTTTGATGGTCACAGATTTGAAATGGCCAATAAGAGAAAATGTGTTGATTGGCAGAATGTCAGCGCAGCAATAAAAGCTGCCAGTCCATGAGCTGAAGAGAGATCTGAAGCTTAAGAAGAAATGGTGCAATCAAATGCAGAATATTGTGCAGACAAATTCAAGGAACACAAAAGATAGGCACATCAGTATTGTGAGCTAAAACAAGGTTTTCGCTCACATGTACAAACACTCACATATAGCCAGGGTCAAACTGAATGGCGCAGGCTTGCTGCCCAGCTAATTAATTTGACACAACAAAAGATCTGTATCTCAATGTCACAGCCTGCAGGATGCAACAGCACACAAACCTGCCCAGAAATACTGTTTATAAAAGGTTTAGGTTGGAATAATGTTGAAAGGAGACAGTATGTGTGTTAGAGAGAAAAAGAGAGAAGGACAGCAAGAGAAAAAATGAGCAAGGCCACCTTAATATTTTGTGCTGGTATTGTTAATATAGTAACATTTTTTAGGCTATTTTGCTTTTATTTCAAAGTAGACACTAAAAACCACAAGATTTTGACAAAGGAGTCCAAGGTTTGTGTTCTATATGTGGTTAGGTTTAGGCAACAACAAAACATTTGACAAAGGATAGAAAAGATCATATTTTTGATTGAATACTGAAGAAGTAAACACATGCCTCGATTCAGGCTTTGAGTTCCCTAAATGATAAAAATGTTAATGATGCTTTAGCTGCACCAGAAAACATGAAATTAAATAGGCTGTGTAAGAGTTTTGTAGATACAAACAGTATGAAGACTTTACTATTTATAAAATCTGGGCAGCATTAATTTCAAAGCACACTATGTGCTGTTGCACATAATTTCTAGAAGACAGATTGGATTTTGCATAGCATCTTCATTGTTCAATGAGTGTGTGTGTGTGTGTGTGTGTGTGTGTGTTTGATACACACTTTGACAATACAGTGTACATTGCCGGTGCATTAAAATTTTTTCTCTCTTTCAAACAAGTGTTTCAGGAAAGTGTATTAAATGTATTAAACCTCATCTGAGGATCTTGCCATCCCTGATGGATGGCATTGTGTCAGCATAACTCACTATGAAAACTATGAAAGACATCCGAACAGAAAAAAATATTAGTGATTATTAGTATAGACAGAACCACCACACTGAAGATTATACTAATCATCCTAAACTATATATCCCAAATATATCTTCTAAATAGAACACTTCTGTCAAATAATCTAACCACCAAACACAGCACATTTGCATCACAAAATCAGAAGAATACTTAAGAATACATAACACAGTTATCTGATTTCAAAGTATGATGATTGCTAAGGCCATGGGCTAAAGAAATTCATATTTTTGCAAATCAGGCATTACATGACCCTGGGAGGTCTTCTCAGTGTTAGTAATAATAATTTGTGGATTTGACTGTAGGGAAGGAAAGTGGTTAATAACAGAGGCTGCAGTAGTACAGGCAGGCATCGTAGAGGCTCAGGCCTGCCCTCTAACAGTCAGCTCTCATTATCTCAGCGTCTGTCCCTGCATTCACTGCCGCTACCTACTGCCGCCACTGAAACAAAGGAGTTCAGCACACACAGGAGGAGAGAGCAGAGATGGAGGAGGCAGGAAGAAGGTTTAAAATTATGTGAGAGTAAAGAAGTTAAAGAAAGTAGGGAAAGTGAGCATGAGGGTGTAATATACCTCAGTGGTATAGAGCAATAGCAGAAGTAAAAGAAAGACAAAAAGATACTGCTTAAGTAAGAGGAAAAAGGGTGCAGGGTACAATTATAAGTATCTGGTTCTATAATGTAAACAGGTAACAGATTCCCAAGAAAGAGTAGAGAATGTGCAGAATGAAAAGAATTGAAACTTGGTCATAGACGGCAAAAGAAAAAGCCTGACAACCCACAAATGAGCACAGTAGGATTAATGGAAAGGATGGATGCCTTAAATGGCAGATGCTCTCAGCTATTATCCAGTTCAAGTGTGTTGAATGACTCATGATATGAATGAACTACCATCTTGACTGTGAAACACCTACACACACCTACACCTCTGGTCTCTCACTGTCCCACCTCTCTCTGTCTCTCTCCCCCCCCCGTCTACTCCACTTTCTCCATCAGCAGTATGTTTGATAAAGTTGCCTAAATGACACAGAACTTGTCTTTTTTCCGTTTTTTTTGTTGACTGCTGCTTTACCTGGTCTTACTTGTAAAATATCCATGGCGATTTGTAATGTAATAGGCTACCAAGTTTTTGACAGAGTGAAGTCTGTCAGTCTGTTAAATGCTGGAAGAGGCATTGAAGTTGGTTTGCCATAGTACATTTCAATGATATTGACATTGTGTGTGAGTATACTGAGGACTTACATTGCGGGTCTTGAAGAAATCAGTCATCCTCTCGCAGGTCCACTGGGAGGGCACGAAGGGCCAGAATGCATCTCATGTGTACATCATGTTGTTTCTAGATTGATAATCAAAAAAATTATCATTATACAAATGTTGTTATAGTGTAACAGTTATACCAATCTAATTCTAAAAGAATAATAATACTATTATTAGCAACAACAGCAATAACAATAATAAAGCCATCCAGCTGCAACTACCTATAAGACAAGACTTACAACATGACAAAAGATTTGGAAGCCAGTGCAGTAGGGCTGGACCCCAGTATTCTAGTTATTCACTAGGGGTGGGAATCTCTAGGCACCTCACGATTCGATTTGATTACAATTCAGAGGGCTGCGATTCGATTATAAAATGATTATCGATGCATCTTGACATAACTTTTCCCTGGATAATTACTAAGCATTTAATTTGCACATTTAAATCCAAAAGAAACATCTCCTAATTAGCTTAAAAGGACTAGTTTGCATCCCTAATTTACTTTAATAACCTCAGCTCAATGGTCCATTTCTTTAACATTCAGACTCCTCTGAAAACAGACAAAGTTAATAATAAGGATATAGCCTACAGTATGTGTACAGGACAGAGCTGTACACCAGTTTAGTCTAAGCTTGTACCGGATGTTCTCAACCCTTGACTAATAGGTTAGTTAGTAATGACATAACGTTACAGTTGATAATTAACATTAATTTGTTACTAATTTAGCTAACGTTACATAAATAAATAAATATTTTAATGCATTTCACGGTACCCAAGGACGCTTTACACATATTTACAGTTACAGAACAAAAAAAGTCATTCAGGATTGAATGTCCGGTGTGGGGGACAGAGAGCAAGCCCTTGTCCAGGGGAGATGTTAGCTAGCACCAACAGCCTTCACTCTTCCAGCGGTTGGGGAAACTACAGACTATTATTAATGGACACACAGTGACCTACACTGCACATTTACTACCTGACTGAAACTTACTGCTAGAAGTCCTAATCTGTAATGACCACACATTATGTGATCTACATTGTGGCTATGGCAAAATCAATCTTACACTCACCTGGAGGTCATAAATCCTAGGATCTCCGCAGTGCCTCTGCTGTCTTACCCGTCTGTGAGGCCCTCCACCTGGACAGGACAATCAGCTGTGGTGTCAAGCTCACAGTTGAATTGGCTCCATAGGTTCAACATTAATCATGATGACGATGGAACTCAGAAAACACCTGCAGACATTCAAACACAAACACATAAATGTATGTAGATTAATGTTGTTACCACTATGGGAATTTTCTTTTAATAAGGAAGCATCCTAGTAAGTTCAAATGATGCCTGTATGTTCCTTTAAATACCTTAACTCAAGTCTTTCAAATCCATGAAGTATAAAAAGCATCAAGTCTACATAATCTTGAATAATTCAAAAGAATTATACTAACTCTTATGCAGAGATGTGCAAATTGAAAACATACCTTGGATAGCTGTAGTGTCACTCAATACTTAATCCTGCAGGAGCAGATAAAACACAAAGAACGTCATCTATTGCTGATTTTTTTTTTAAATACTATATTTTATCATTTCACTTACTCAGCGATACAAGAGCTGCTTTCGCAAGTCAGGTGATTATGGACAAGATGAAATCCCTTCAGCAGCATTCTCTATAATCCTTAATGGGCACACACATGAACACCAACTTTTTATTAGTTTACACAAAATAATGGCCATGTAAACACTTCTCACAAATATGTGATACTGGAATAGTTTAATGTTGTGAAAAATGTATTTAACGTTAGTCTCTAAGAGTAAGTTACCAGTTCAATAGTTACATCTAGCTAAAAAGTAATGCAGTAATACAACATTCCTACCATAAATCCTCCATAACAATGATAATGTTCAGTTTTGGATGAAACTGTTTCAGAGAGTTGTTGATTCGACTGTATGATCATTTTGGAAACTGCAGTTGTGCTGCTGGTAATTTGTAACGTTATCACATGGACAGGTGCTTCTGTTAATTTGTCCATCCCATTAATATCTGATGCTAAATAACACACACTCTTTTTGTGTAACTTAATAATGCAACTCATGTCAACGTAAGGTTACCACAAACATCTTCCAAAATTAACAAATGATAAAATAGTTTCAATGAAAACTGAGCATTCTTCACCAGTTAAAAGGTTTCATTACCACAGTGGAAAAATAACGTTACTCCTTTACAAATACATATTAACGTTACACAGCCACTTCAGATGAGGCAACTAGTCTCTGAAGGGCTGAGGAGAATCATTAGGTTTACAGCTAATAACGTTTTAGCCATGCATCAACACTATTTCAGGAACAGCTTATAAACAAACGCAGAAGTTGACTGTCTCCACAATGTAACGTTAACTAACGTGAGTTAACATTAACTGACAGTGACAGCAGTTCACAATAGTGCAAAGTTAACTTAACGTTACCTCAATGTGAGCCAGCTTTCTTCTAGCTTTAGCCTTTCTGTAAACGTAATTGCGCCTGAAAACAGAGCCGAAATGTGATAAACTTTTTTACTCACCGGACCAAAGTGCATTCTCTGCCGACTGAAGGCTTCCGTCACAACTTTACGTTACTTTGGAGCTAATGTCCGTTAACGTTAGCATAAAAGTAACGCGCCAAACTGCCTCTTCATCCTGAAGCGGTCCTCCCAGAGCACACACGGGTGTAAAATAGAAGTTAAAGAATACAAAAACATTTCTTTCACAGCGCTGCGAATAAATACTGGTTCTCTTGACTTTTGTTAAATAGGTTAAGAGTTTTGCTCCGTTACTTGCAAAACCGTCTCCCTCGCGTCGGGTAGCCATCTTGAATTTTCTGAAAACGTAAAATCCCGTTTGGCCGTTAATGACGTCACACGTCAGGGTGCGTCTCAATAGTCGAAGGGTTTGATTTAGAAATCCATCATCACTCAAAAACTATGATACACACATAATTAAAACAACATAACTCGTTAAGAAGACTTGGTTGTTTAGTGTATAGTGTACTTATTAGCTGGTTTTCATTGCTGAACTCATAATTATTTTGAGTAAGCAGTGCGTTCGGGTTTACAGTGTACATTTAGAAGTTATTAAACAAAACATGTCCACATTCACGTGTCTACTGCATTCTCCAAATAGCTGTATTAAGGTTAAATGTTCAAGGAGCTGTGTGTCTGCGTTTGCACTTCCAAAAAATGTGTGTGTGTGTGTGTGTGTGTGTGTGTGTGTGTGTGTGTGTGTGTGTGTGTGTGTGTGTGAATATAACCGTACGGTGCTGTGTGTGTTCATTGTGCTCTAAATGGTAATGCTGCAGAGTCTATCTACATTGAGTAAACGCACAGGGAGTTTCCCTCCACAAGCCTGCCAACTCCTCTCAGCCAGCCCCCATGGGTTATCAAAGCAGACACTTGGCAACCTACTTTCCGAAGCAAAGCATCTGCCCATTCAGAGGCAATGGGGCTAATGTCAGCCTCTATCACTCTTACGTTCAAAATGACCTTGGCATCAGCATATACAGCAATAACTGATGCATGGGTTTGAGCGCAAGAGGGAGAAAATATAACTGCAAATCAATTCAAGTTTCAACATAGGTCCATGTGACAGCCATTACTAAAACAAAGTCACCTTCACATCGAGCAGAGGTGGCCATTACTTCTTTAAAAGGTGGGTTATTGATATTCTGTTCAGTTTAGAGATGCCTGCTTGCATTGCAAGTTTTGGAATTGGGCTTACAATTGAAAAATGCACACGCACGAAGACACTCCAGAGACACTTTAAAACATCTGGCATCTGTTTAACCTGGCTATCTGTCTGTCTGTCTCACTTTGTCAAAAGACAGTTAAAGGAGAGACTGGAAATCGTGACTGACCTGCAAAAAAACTCAGGGAAAACCAACACAAATATAAATTACATTCTTTAATTATGACTTCATTGCAACAAGGATAGATGGATGGATCCCAGGCGAAAATATAATTCTACCCCTAGAGAAAATCTGAATATGATGAATTTAGAAAACAGGAGGTTATGCAATCTCTGATTTTGCTGATAGCCCCTCCTTTTTCTCCAGTGCCTGGCTCACCCACTGGAACTCCCGATTTTCCAAACAGCTTCATGGCAGACCCACTTTGTGGAATGTATGGAGTCGTTCCTTAAAGCAAAGGCTTGAGAGTGATTTTCTTTCTGGCCGAGGGTTTGATGAGAACATTGATAGGACTTTCATATTTGCGTCAGATATGTAAAGCTACAGCCAGCAGTCTGTACAAAGAATGTAAACAGATGGATACAGCTAGCCTAGCAAAAACTGTCCCTGGCGTTTTTTGGCCCAGACCAGTACTGTACTATTCCCCCAAACCACTATAAAGTGGAGTATAAAGTGCCGTGTACAACTGTACCATTGCAAGTGGACCAACTGAGTTATTTCACTTTTTGATGGATTAACAATAATGTTACCTTATCTTATTCTCACTGTCATGAATTTAATTAATCATCATTCATCATTGTCATCGTGGCACGGCATGGCACGACTACTTTCCCCAATCCCTCCCTGAGAGTCCCTGTTTCCCTGCATTCTACTCCCTGCTTAGCGCTTCAACTCTCTTCTCCTGCTCACTCTGTTCCTCGGCTTCCCTGTCACACTGCTCCTCTTCCTGCTCCTTTGCCTGGAATACCATGGCAGCAACCTCTTCTCCTTCCACCTGTCGCTGCATAATGGGGGTATCACTGTTGAGCCAGTCAGCCAGCCTATTTTTAGCTTTTGCTTACCGCACCTTCTATCCTCCCTTCACACTTGCCTTCATACCTCTCCCTCTCCACTACCTCCTCTCTGTGCCCACCACCACCATCATTGCCCATAGGTGCTGAATGTCCTGCAGCAAACATATCAGTAAGTTTTGCACATTTGGCAGCATCTGCCTGAAGGGCCTGTCTTTTTTTGGCTTGCAATGTCTCTGCACCTCCCTTGCGCTTTGGCTGTTTTTGCAGATGTGCTGTTTAATGAAGAAACTGAGCCCAAAGGCTGGGGGAGTGGTTTAAAGATGTCACTGAGTCAGTCCATTAAGAAAAAAAAAACCAATGGGCCAATCTACCTGTTTTATGGGTACGTCAGACAAAAAAAAATAGACCATTGTGTCGGCCCACTGAGAAAGTGCCCGATCTGCCAGATGGCCAGTTCAGCACTGCACAAAGCCCACCGTATAATGAGTTATCGTTTTGTATGTTTATTAGTGAGATTTACAGGTGCTGGTAGGAGGATTGTGTTACCTTCAGACAGAGCCAGGGTAGCTGCATCCCCCATTTTCCAGTCTTTTTGCCAAATTTTTGAAGTCTTCCTTTAAGAGCAGAATTGGTGGGAGTTCCGTCATTTTTTTATATCTTATACCTATAATGACTAATTCTGAATTCACAGAATTTAAAAGTAAGCCAATGTTGTGTGTTGGTGTGTGTGTGTGTGTGTGTGTGTGTGTGTGTGTGTGTGTGTGTGTGTGTGTGTGTGTTTGTGTTTGAGAGAGTTTACAAGTAGGATTTCCAGTCTGACAATGGCTTAGCAGAGTGTCTTTGTTTTGGCTTAGCCCCTTTGTCGCTTCCTGCTCTCTGAGCTGCGTCTAGTGTTTTAAGTGCTTGACAGCCAGAAGTAAACTATCTGTAGCTTATCTCCTCTACACCAATGCTTTGCAGAGGTATTTTTTTAACTATTTTGTTTTTAAGCAGTTTTCCCACATAGTACTGTAGAGTAAAGGTCAGAGAGAGGTGCATATAACTTTATTGTTATGTGTTTCAAATTATGATGTTTTGGGATTAAGGAACCATTGTTTGCTGTGGAAGCTGGGATGATAATGATTATTAATTAATGATAAGATCTTTATTAGAGATCTAAAAGAAGGGAATAGCACATTTAAGAGACAAAATAGATCAGCATATAGCCAGCAGCAGTAAAGCTTAACCAACAACAGCAACATGCAACCACTGGAAGCAAGCCGCATTACCAGTCCTACTTTTTTGGTTGTGCTACTGTGATTTTTTTTTCTGTTGTGATTTGGTGCCTGTCCAACTTTGGCTTTGGCTTTGGCTGCTTGGTAAGTAGTCTTATAAGGATGTTTTAAACAAACAATATTTAATAGCCTTTCTCAAATCTGTTTTTGTGCCATAAAACCTCTTACACCTCTGCACCCAAGAATTGGCACATCTTGTCTTTCTTTTAATAAATTAAAATTGTGGTTAAATTTTAAAAGATTTGGAAGAGATATTCATGCAGTGTGTGTTTGTGTGTGGATGTGTAAGTGTGACGGGTTAGGCATAGGCTGAGTTCTTTAGTGTTGTAGGGGGTCCAATGTTATGTGAATGTCTTGCATCCAGCCACATCAGTGAGAGTTGAACAATGTGTACAATATATACCAGTGGTCGGCAATAGGTGGGCCGCGTGCCAGAACCGGACCGCCAACAATAAAATCTGTCCTGCGGCCAGATTGTTTTAATGGCAGAAATAACTAAGTATAAAATAATAAATTATTATAATAAATAATAATAATTCAGCTGGTGCTGAAATAGATCTCAATCATGACAGCTACAGTTACACAATCACTTCCTCTTCAGTGATTGTGCCTCCAACATAAAAGAGCAAGGATGTTTTTCCAGCAATCTTTATGTCAAGTTTAGTGAGAGTT